TATTGTCTTCAAACAATTTCTGTTAAAAACAAATCACTTTGGTGCATCTGAAAATTAACTTCTGGATTTAGACGTCCGGAAAAATGTGTCAAGTGTTCATATCAGGTTCCACTTATTATCACATTTCCCCCTGACAAATAGAACCTGATATGGTTCTGTCTGTACTGCACTGGTTGCATGCAGTACAGACGTCATGAGAGGTCTCAGTGAGAGGTCAGAGATGCCTCGCCTACCATCTAATGCCCCTATTGTCATATAAAGATATAAATTGTGGACAACATGGTTGACATTAAATTCTACAAGCAAAATTTTATCCATGTCTACCAATGTAACATTTCCCTCAAGCAGCAGTGTCTAAATACACATGCACACATTTCAAGGCTCCCGCACTGCTAACTTACAAAATGGCCATTTTGACAGGCTTCTGAAAGAACTGTAAAAAATTAAACATCTTTTTCATTATGTTCTATACTTATAAATTCATTCACCATCATTAAAAGTTCACATGCAAACACATTAAGGACCATAAAATGAACATCTACATTAGTCATGACCTAAATTCCAGTTTCTCAAGCGAGTTACGACATGCAAACTATCTGATGACAGGACTATCACTGGGATGGAATTATTACAATAGCTATTGATTTTCTGTATTAAGATATAACAAACACTTAAACTGATACATAAGTAAACATTAATAAGCCTTGCCAAGTGGCCTGCCACTTACTAAAACAGGCCTGCCTCTGAATCAATATTTGATAAAAGTCTGCCACTGCAGTCTTAACATTACATAGCACTAAATCAACATAAAAAGTGGCCTGGTATTGACTCAAAAGAGGCCTACAACTGACTCAACATAAAATAGATTCCTAGCACTAAATCAACGAAAAAGTGGCCTGGTATTGACTCAACAGAGGCCTACAACTGACTCAACATAAAATAGATTCCTAGCACTAAATCAACGAAAAAGTGGCCTGGTATTGACTCAACAGAGGCCTACAACTGACTCAACATAAAATAGATTCCTAGCGCTAAATCAACATAAAAAGTGGCCTGGTATTGACTCAACAGAGGCCTACAACTGACTCAACATAAAATAGATTCCTAGCACTAAATCAACGAAAAAGTGGCCTGGTATTGACTCAACAGAGGCCTACAACTGACTCAACATAAAATAGATTCCTAGCACTAAATCAACGAAAAAGTGGCCTGGTATTGACCCGACAGAAGCCTATCACTGACTGAACACTAAATGGAGTCCTGTCCCTGAATCAATGTATAATAATATAAAAATCTGTCACTTAACTCAACACATGATTCAACATTAAGTCTAATGTAGAGGCCTACCCCTGAATCAATATTTAGTGAAGATCTGTCACTGAATCCACATTTGATTAAAAGGCCGTCATTGACTCCATATAAAATAGATGGAGGCCTATCACTGATTCAACATTTTATAGAGGTCTGCAACAGACTCATTGTTAAATAAAACCCTGCCATTGACTCAACATTAAATACAGGCCTGCCACTGACTCAACACAATCCTATTGCTGACTCCACATCAAACAGATGCCTGTCACTAATAGACATCCAATACTAAACAAACATCAAGGAGCAGTTTGCTATTAATTCTACACTAAAATCTGTTCCTTGTTTGAAGTGAATAAGAAGTATAGTGCATCAATCCTCAATAACATTTAACAAGGGTCTGCCAGTGACTGAACATTATATAGCCGATCACCATTTACTCAACATGCATAGGTCAGTCTAAGTTACCCAACACATAAAAAAGGTGCAAATCCATGATTTCATGTCTGTCATTGACTGATTAAAAGGCTTGTTGTCACTAGTCCATCACATGCAGAGGGCTGACACAACATTCATCTGTGGTATGCCACCAAGTTGTGACTCAACTTTACAAAAAAAGCTTGGCAGTTACTACGACACTTAAAAGATGTCAGTGTCTGCTTCTTACTGAATACTAAGAAATGGATTATAAGCTCTCTGTGGTTTGTTGTTGATGGTTTTGATTTTTGTGTTTTGAAGGGTTTTTTGTTGTTTGTTTGTTTTTTTGTTTTTTGGTTGTTTTTTTCTTTTCTTCTTTTTCTTGACAGTGAAATGTTCAAAGATGACGGGAAAAGTTTCTAATTTAAATGAATTACTGATTAAATTCTTTATTTTCATATCTAGGATGGACAGAAATGTCCAACTGAACTGTAAACTACTGTACACGCCATCTTCTTAAGTTGCGACACGACTTTCCGAAATAGTTCCCAACCTGTTCTTCTACCCAAAGCTGCTCTATGTAATCAATAAAATAACAGATTTGGAGTTCGTATCGTATGGTGTAGAGCCCCTTTATCCTTCAGTATGATATGTTGTTAACCCTTAAGTATCCGTCACAAGGCCTACAACTACGCATTACACTGACACCTTGCACACACGTGCCCAACAGCCGCGGTTCTGTCAAATGTCAAAACGACCTGCAGAAAAGTATCATTAATGCTTTATGACAAAGTTAACATGACCAAACAAAGTAAAAACATTTCAGAATTCCTGTAATTTACCAAAATAAAATACTTACTTTGAGTCAAAAAATTGTCTTCCAGTTGGAATGCGCTGTCGCCATACAACTTTCTCAACTGAATGCACACATAACTTGCAGTGCACGCACGTTCGTATGAACCGGAAGTTGTTTTCTGCCTTATAAACATTAGCTCTGCAATAAATAAAGTATCAAAAAACCTGCAATAAACAAACAGTAGATTAATATATTCGTGGCAAAATATGTTAGTTCATTTCACTTTTGTCATTAATTCTTTCCTAGTATAGCTGTCAACACACATGCTCTGCAAAATTGTATTATATTCTGAAATGATTGCGCAACTCATTCACTGCTGACCTGAAAATGGCAGCCTCCATGGGCGGACGTGGATCCCGATGCGACAACGAAAACACATTTTTGATATGTTTATGTACCGTTTAGAAATAGGAATTTAGGCATATGCTAATTTGGTATGGCATCTTCTACACAAAGAACAGCTCTGAGAGCTGACGAACATCTCGATGAGAATTATTTATTGCTCACTCAAGGTCCTGCAGAAGGCTAGTATCGGATCACAGACGGCTAATGTTTATATTTAGTTAAAACACTTCAGTCACATCAACGGTTTACATAGATCTATGCTTATAACAACATCACTTACCCATAAAGTAACTAATTCTTGTTTACTTAAGCCAAAAACCCAAATTCTAAGAATTCCATTTATACTGAGAATTTAAATTAATAAATTCCAAGTTGATCCTTCATTTCATTGTTATAGTATAGTAAAGCATGCACTATATCAATTAAAAATTATCTTAAAGTATACATTAGATATACATTAATTGATTGAGGCACTAGGTATTGAGGCAAGTCAAAAATGTTGTTCACACTTCTCTCCCATAAGAATTTTGAAAAGTTAGCAGGTATGGGTACACACATATAAAGGTGGTAAGGTGGTAATTCTAATCTTGGTTACAAAGCCTATTGAACTCTTTATAAAAATTTCAAGAGATGGTTGAGTGAGACTATTTTTCCACAGGAGTACCGTTTCTTGTTTAAGGACCATTTGACTACCATTGGTAACATATATCGAAAGGAAGATAACAATGAGGTGCCTGAGACATCCAAGAGCTGCACTCTTATTAAGTCTCCCAAACTTCTTTTGGAGACTTATTCATGATAATCCAGACTTTCACTATTCTTTTCTTTGTTTTTTTCATCTATCACTTTCCACTGTAAAAGTTTCTAACATTCTCCAAAACTATGGCTGGACAGTCACCATTTTCTGGTTCCTGATTGGCTAATACTTTTCCACCTGTAACATAAGTTCTATTCAGCAAATTGAGATTAGAATTTGTGAATGTAAATCAATAAGACACCCTCTAGATGGCATAATAATTGCCACCAAAGTAGCTGCCAAATGGAGACTTCTGATTGATCGAAATTGATATATTGTCTGATTTTATTGAAATTTGGTATCTAAATAAAATATGACATCATGAGCATAATGGTGACATCCATTTGATGATTGGATAAAATGGCTGTCCAGGGTTTTATAGGTGCATGTCAGTGTCCCCTGCCAGTGTCAATTTATTGTTAAATTTTTAGAGATGTATGCGAGCCTGTTCCTTCTTGCCCTTTGTTGAAGTACAGTACTTTACTATGCATCTCTCATGACTAAAGGGAACATCTAAATACACAACACTGCACATTACTACAACATTAACCCAATACTCCCCAAATACTAGTAAATTATACTTTAATGTCAACTTATAACTGTAAATACTCAAATAACTTATACCACTGAAATATAGTGCAATCACAAGTAATTTTTGTCTAAACATAACTAATTTACACATTATACATTTGACACTGATAATTCTTTTTAGAAATTCCACAATTTAGTACAGATTATTACCATATAACATCACATTTGACCAAAATACTTATCCTTTTATGAGTTACTGCACCCCTTTATACACTGAATGTCACAATGGTTGTACTTTCACCCTATACATTGGTTTATACCTTTGTCACATGTATTTTAGTTTAATGAGTGATGTATATACTGAAACTGGCAATTTTATTAAATGACCTTGGCCTTGTATTTGAAAGGATTTTAATTGATTGAAATAACATAGATCTGGTATACGTGGTCATTGAAAATAGTTTCCTGTCTTATCTATATCAAGATTTACTGAGCTGTCCAATAAATTTGTTAATAGACCAATGTTTGGTAATTAAACTTTATTTCAGTTTTATAGAGTTAACAACAAGCTTAATTCCATGACCTTTCACCCACTTACCTAACTTTGAGTAAAAGTGAGAAAAAAAAACTCTGGGCTTATTGCAGAATAATTATCTGGTGTGATGCTTCCAGTTTGATCTTGTCTATCTTAAATATTAAGATGTGAATTTTAAAATATCAATTTTTTTTATTTGTTATAGGAAAAAGTTTCTTCATGCAGGAATTGAAAAGGTTGTTTGAAAACAGTGATGTTAAAGAACAAATACCTATGATAAAAGCAGTAAGTAATGTCAGTCTGATGTGTTTTTCTTCACTCTCATTACAAACGATACACAAATATTTACAACACTACTATTTAATCAAAATACATGTTTGTACCCTTCCAATTCAAGATTTGGCAAAGGAATGAGCCAAGTATTCATACTTTGTAGCAAAATAAGATTGCTGTTGGCCTGAATTTCTAAACAAATTAAAGTTGTAAAAAGTTGTCTTAACTCGGAAATACTGTGCTAACTAAAAAATGAAAAATAAAAACAGTGATTTCAAATGTAGGAATTTTCTTCTATTTCTTTGCTGTAATGAAATGACTGTGCACATATAAACATATTTATATTCTGTGATAATTAATGTATCTTTATGTAAACAGATGTGTGCAGGTTTAACAGAACAGATAACTGAGGAGGAACTGCTTTTACCATTACAATTCATGGTCAATATCTACCTCAACTGTCCACCAAAACACCCAGTAAAGAGAATACTAGCCAGGTACGATATTATACCTACTATCTACAAGTGGAGATTAAGATTCATTTTTTATCAGAAGCAGTATATTGTATTCAACCAATATCAAGCCAATGCTGGGTAATAATCCATGACGGTTTCCGTAGAAATGCCAACAAATGCTTTATCATTACTGTGTAACAGGTGCACTTTTCTATTTGAGCCAGGAGGTATTGGTTTACTTCCTGGACGTATCGCAGCACAAATATTGAATGATATACCACTATATCATTTAAAGATGTTTTCTAATTATTTCTATCTGTTCTGTTTATCCCATATTTGCAGCACTTTCCAGAATTATCTTCCCTGTATCAGAGACAGAGTGAAGGGGGCGTTAACAGAGCAGCTCCTGAATAAAATGACTACTTGTCAGACAAGAGCTGACTCAAGTGAAACTGGATGGAGGTCACTTGTGGACATTGTGTCTAGTTTAATGGAGAACTTTAAACTAGGTAAGAATGGAGATTTGTCCATCAACATATTTCTGACTATGGTATATGAAAGGCTTCATGCAATTTTTCTTTCTGGATTTTAAACCATCATTGCTTCTTTAGCAATTCAAATCAATAAGGTAACAGGTGTTTCCCTGAGCTACCAAACAAACTAAGCAAACAGTAAGTACATGTCTCATTCTAAATCATAAAATTATGTCATATACTAAGACATGTGCATGTATGATAAAAATTTTTTAGAAGATGAAATGAAGGTATGAAATAAAAAATTGGCAATTTTTATTTTGCAGGAGAAAATTGCCTTTGTCTGATAAGTTTACCTGGTGAGTTTTCTTAATAAAATATATATAGGTGCTTGTATGTCGTATGTTCACGTAGCACTCTACTGTTGGAAGATGCATATGATTAGCAGTCTATACTGACAACACATTAGGTGATCATACCTCAGTGCATTGTTAATCCATACCAATATCTTACTGTACTATAACCCTCCATGAATCAGTCTGTCTCCAGACAAGTATCTTTAATTTGATGCTTTACAACACACACACAGATTTTTTAATCTAAAACGTAATTCTCTGATGTTTTATGAAGTTTTATATGAGACAATACTTTCATATCAAAGTTTATCTTGATATTAGAATTTTTCTTTTTTCAGTGATGAAGTTTCTGAGCAAAGCACTGTCTGAATTCATCGAGCTTTTCAGGTATCGGACATGTTTCAGATTTCACCAAAACTTCATTCTTTCTTCAGCTCACTATGCATTCATGAGTCTGTTCTAAAGGCTTATATTTATGTACTTAATTTCTTTGTTAATATCACTCCTGAATATAAGGGTGTTTTTGGGGTTTTTTTTTAATTGCTCATTTCATAAAGTTGAAATACATATTTACTTTAATGTATATGACTAAGCATGCATTGAATTGAAAAAGAATAAGAGAAATGATATCCCCAGAATTATTAGATTCTGAATTCGGTAATTCCAAATATTTGTATTATTTTCTGTAGTCAAACATTTTGAATATTATTTATCACAGTGCAAGCCTGTCTCCTGTCAAACAGAATGAACTGATGCACAATTGCCTAACAGCTTTACAAACAACCAATAGAATGCTTCAGAAGTGTCACATGACTATACTAGAGATCCTGACAGAATCTGAATCACAGAAAAGTTTTATAGGATATGCCAGTTCACTGATGGCATCAAACATGAAAATACTAAAATCAGGTAAGTATTTTGTTTATTCTTTCCTCTTTTCACAATGCATTAATGTACTCAATTTTTGTTAAATTAAAATTTAAAAAAGTAATCTCCATTGATAAATAGACAATGTGCATCAGAATCTTATAGATTTTTTTGACAGAACCTCGGTTTACAATGTCGGACCAAACTACATTACAATCAAGGACAAAGAGATATCAAGGCTTTTGATTGGTTATTGTATCTGTTGGTTTTGTATTCTGTATTTTCATTGGTTGCAATCTGTGATATTGATTATTATGTAATGTGATAGACAGTATCTTAACATTTACTATAATTGAGTATTCAGTATCTTCATCTCAAAACCCAGGAGGATGCTCAGCACTTTGCATATCAAAACAGGCAGTAAACTTGTTTTTATTTGTATTTTATAGACAACTTCATGTTGGACTGTAAAACAAGTTGTGGTATGAATCTAGTCTTGCTGCTCAAACTGCTCTGTCCACAAGAAGTTGTCGCCCAGGTAACCAAACACAATGGAATGAGGTTATATCATATTTCATGCCATTGTATCTTAAAATATCAACAGTTCTTGTCGTGGTTAAAAATGTGTATTGACTTTAAATTTTTTGTTCTCAGGGAAGCATTTAGTTGCCACCTGGTCTGTCAAGTGTACTAGATTAAAGGCCCACAACTCCTGATTTGTTTCCCTTTATCATAATTTCATGTCTGGAGCATCACTTTGTTTGCATTTAAAGTAGAATAATGAAACTTGGTCTATAAATTGTTCACACCAAGACAATGTGTTCCAAAGTCAGAGTCGGCAACCCCGTTATTACGTCATATTGCATTTTGTAAAAAATTCAGGTCCTGAGCAAAACTATATTTGGATTTAATCCCATTGAAACTTACAGCTTATTGTAAGTAAATGTTTGGAAAACTGCTTCAATGACTGTTCTCTTTGAGCTCTAGATCATCTCCCAGACAATTTGCAATACAAAAATATTCATAAGCACACATAAATAATAATCATTGCAGATAGCTGACCTGTAAATTAAATCCCAGACAGAATGACATTATTTTGACCAAATGCAAAATCCACATACTGAAAAAGTCTCCAGTAAAGTTATTTCTGGGAGCTCTCATCTGTTCCACTGATACTCTAGTTATGTATACTGCAGAACATTTAGAAATATGATTTTTTTTAATTCTTCAGTAATGTCAACAATGTGACCTATTAAAAGTTATATATATGTGCATCAATGGTTTATTAATTCTATACTAGTTTATTGTTGTCTATTTCAGTTGTTGTCTGCAGCGTTCAGGAGACTAGTAGTTCAGACGTCAGCACCTCAGTATTCCTGGTTGGAGGGATGTGGTCTTTACTCTTTAAACCTTGCCCCTCTTACTCCTACTAGTCACTTGTGTCTCTGTTATGGCTTGTTTGCTCACCTTGATCCAGCTGACCTCCTGTATGAGTTCATGGACAACACCTGTCTTCTACTGGATGTATTCCCAGATGAATTTCTCCAGTTAAACTCTCAGTAAGTATCACAGAGTAGTCCCTCAGAGACAATGAAATATAGAGAAAAAAAAGATTCCTTTATATAAAAGTAATACAAAACAAAACAAATCAGAATTCCTTATATGGTATGGTGGGAATTTTCTCCAAATGTATTTGAATGTACGTATTGATAGCAGATATAAAGTGTTAGTTGATGTTCTGAAAAATAAGAATATATTTTTATTCTCAGGTGTGAGGACACAGGTAGCAAGCTACTGCTGGCCAAGTCTATGTGTTTATGGACAGTCCGTGCCAGGTAAGTGACTCATGATCAGTCTAGGATAATAGCATGTGTTATCTTGGTGTGATTAACATTGATTTATCTCAGTCAAGGGCTTACATTCTGTAACAAAATCTCATTCGACTTGAAGTTTATATCGTGTACTGGTCAAGGTAAAATCTGTGAAATATTCTTTGTCTGGAGAAATCCTTTATGTGTGACTACTTTATCTCACTTGTTTCATGGTTTAACAGTGCCTGTTTGAAGACAGACTGTGTCTCCCCTGCCATGAGGTCAAGGTTGAAAGGTGGTGAGGTCACGTTACAGAAAGTCCTGCAATATGTTTGGGCGACATGGGAGGACACTGTAGATGTAAGATCATGTTTTTTTCTGTAGCTTGGTTAGATAATAATAAAATTGGTAAGTAAAAAAACTGATTTAGAGTGAAAGAACAAGAAATGGCATCATTATTTTCAAGTTATTTTTAACATTAACAAAATTATGTCCAAGAATGTTGACAGTATATATAATTTTCCTCTACAGGCAATAAGGCTTAATGCAAGAGACACCTTTACAAATTCATTGAAAGTTCATTCTCTGGCACAGCAAACTGGTAAGTAATACTCTGACACACATTAATGTACATTGTATCAATATTTGACAGGAGCAATTCATGATGGTAAAACTTGATTGTGTCAGTTCAAATTGTGTGGTTTTGTTAATTTTTGGAAATATGTTCTGAATGGTGGGAACATTATTTGGAAAAAAAATGTACTTTTGTAAAACATTAGCACTTAAGCTATAAACTGTGTGAAAATCACATTTGTTTAAAAACAGACCAGCTAATTGTACCATACTAATAGTTTAAAAAAATTGGTTACCAATATGTGAAATTTGTACATTAAGATAAAAGTTATTAAGGTTTATAGGCTTGTAACAGCCTTCTTTAACTGATTAACAAGACTTTTTCTAAGAAAGGAAATGTAACTAAAATCTTTGCCATAGCTTTCAACATATAATATACTAGCTGCTTTAAACACATACTGTACTAGTTATACAACTTATTCAAACTTTTTTCTTTTCTGATTCAGATCCCATCCAAGACAGTTTTCTGCTGGACCTTGCTCGTACTCTCATCCTTGACATCAACTGGTCATGCAAGGGGAAATATGGCAGTCTGTGTGGTATTGTGGGATATGTAGGCACCACCCACTTCCTGACAGTTTTACCCAGCATGCCAAGGGATGTTCTCAACCAAATGAAGGAGCAAACATTATCTTGTTATGTGAGTGGGTATTTCTGTATTTTCTACAATAGAAAGATGTGCAATGTAATTGTGATAAAGCAATAAATTTGCTTCAGCATTCATGTTACTTTTACACCACTGATCATTACACCACTGATCATTACACCACTGATCATTACACCACTGATCATTACACCACTGATCATTACACATTGATCATTACACCACTGATCATTACACCACTGATCATTACACCACTGATCATTACACCACTGATCATTACACCACTGATCATTACACCACTGATCATTACACCACTGATCATTACACCACTGATCATTACACCACTGATCATTACACCACTGATCATTACACCACTGATCATTACACCACTGATCATTACACCACTGATCATTACACCACTGATCATTCATTACACCACTGATCATTACACCACTGATCATTACACCACTGATCATTACACCACTGATCATTACACCACTGATCATTACACCACTGATCATTACACCACTGATCATTACACCACTGATCATTACACCACTGATCATTACACCACTGATCATTCACTGATCATTACACCACTGATCATTACACCACTGATCATTACACCACTGATCATTACACCACTGATCATTACACCACTGATCATTACACCACTGATCATTACACCACTGATCATTACACATTGATCATCACACCACTGATCATTACACATTGATCATTACACCACTGATCATTACACCACTACACCACTGATCATTACACCACTGATCATTACACCACTGATCATTACACCACTGATCATTACACCACTGATCATTACACCACTGATCATTACACCACTGATCGTTACACCACTGATCGTTACACCACTGATCATTACACCACTGATCATTACACCACTGATCATTACACCACTGATCGTTACACCACTGATCATTACACCACTGATCATTACACCACTGATCATTACACCACTGATCGTTACACCACTGATCATTACACCACTGATCATTACACCACTGATCATTACACCACTGATCATTACACGATCATTACACCACTGATCATTACACCACTGATCATTACACCACTGATCATTACACCACTGATCATTACACCACTGATCATTACACCACTGATCATTACACCACTGATCATTACACCACTGATCATTACACCACTGATCATTACACCACTGATCATTACACCACTGATCATTACACCACTGATCATTACACCACTGATCATTACACCACTGATCATCACACCACTGATCATTACACCACTGATCATTACACCACTGATCATTACACCACTGATCATTACACCACTGATCATTACACCACTGATCATTACACCACCACTGATCATTACACCACTGATCATTACACCACTGATCATTACACCACTGATCATAACACCACTGATCATTACACCACTGATCATTACACCACTGATCATTACACCACTGATCATTACACCACTGATCATTACACCACTGATCATTACACCACTGATCATTACACCACTGATCATTACACCTGATCATTACACCACTGATCATTACACATTTGATCATCACACTGATCATTACACCACTGATCATTACACCACTGATCATTACACCACTGATCATTACACCACTGATCATTACACCACTGATCAAAATATCTTTATATTAGTTGACTGCTTTAGTTCAATAAGCAGGTGGATGCCATTTCATCTTTCTGTCTGTCCAACCATCCAATAAATATGTGCTTAGAGGTGTGACGTAATACAATAGTGTTTTTTTCTCTCTTATGTCCATCCACCTATCAAATTATTTGATTACACGTAGATGGTTACTGTAGGATTGCAGGGTGGATTAAAGGTTACCTTATATAGGTAGTTCAGGTCAAGGCAACATTAAGTTCAATTAAATTCATTATCTGGATGATAAGTTCTTACTCAATGGAGATAGAAAAAAATAATGATTTTTCATAGATGTGTACAGGATGGTAAGGTGTTGTGTTGCATACATTGTTTTGGATCTATATGCCAAAGGTCAATGTCTCATTGAGTTTACAGGTTCAATTCAATGTTGCTAGCTGCCATAACTTCTTACTTGCAGGCATGTTTTTCTTCCTGAAATGTAATGGACACTCATATTGCTTAAAACATCTGAAAGTAGGTTACTACTTGATTGTAGGGTGACAAATCAGTGTCTTTAACTATTTCTCAGATTCTGTGACTGAGGTCAAAGTACCGTTGAGGTCATAGGTCAAATTAATTAGCTTTAGATTCATAGACAGTAGATCAGTAACAGTTATAGATGTGAATCTGTAATTACATCTTGTGTATCTCAGTTTTCTCACTCACAGGCCAGTGAGCTGTATCAGAGGCTATGTGAGGCCCACCAAGGAGAGCTGAGAAATGCCCATGACTGCCAGACAAAATGGCTGACCCTGTGGGTCGACCCTGTCCTGGACGTGCTGTCTGGCAACAATAAACTTCACAAACTTCATGTGATGGAGGTATGATCATAATTCTGGATCTCTTTTAAGCATCAGATGGGAGCATTGTGGTCTTATTCTTGGAAAAATGTTTGGATGTTTATTGAAAATAAGTGCTCTATCTATTTTGTGACCACACTAGACACATATACATGTATTAAGTGTCTATTTTGTTTTCTATATCCACAGTACATCCTGCCCAAGTTGTTGAAGAATGGCAAGATGACACTTCATCACATGGTTCAGCAGCTGACCAAGGACACTTCTAAAGGTATGGTATCCATTATCACCCTCACCAAAAATCTAGGAATAAATAAGACAGATTAATGATAAATTAATGAAATTAGGACTCCACTAACAACATGATGCTGTGATGTTCTAGATTCTTCTGATCAACACCTTGGAGCCTTAGTGACTTGTCTAAGGAGAGCTCGAGTGATGGGACTGCTTCAAAACCAGGAGTCAGGGTCCTCAGAATGTTTGTATGGAGCTGTCAGTATAACAGTCATCAAACAAGCTATGGCACATAAAGATGAACAGGTAAGTCAAGGTCACAAGGATGTTTGTTTGGAGCTGTCATTTTAATATTCATAAATCGGGTTATGACTCCAATCAACGAACATGTAAGTCAGGATCACAGGAATGTTTGTAAAGAGCTGCCAGTGTAACAGTAATCAAACAAATACTTGTTGATCAAAACTTTTGCATACAGATAATGTGCTGATATGTTGGTAACTTGAACTGTTTAAATCAATTAAACAACATCACAAAATGATTTTTTCTGTGTTATTGTTTTGATCACTTTAGATGACAACAGGTGAGACTTGATTTTTTCAGTGTAATTGTATTAATTACTTTTGAAAATAACAGGTGAGACTAGATGTTTTGGCCTTACTTTGTGAGAACCAGAGATCAACAGAGGTCATCAGTAAGACTGAGTTTGATTTACTACAACAGTTCTTACCTTGGAACCTGAATAACCAATCGCCATCTTTCAGACAACACCTTCTGGCCCACCTAAAAAAGGCAGGTTTTTATTGTTTTCTAGTATAAAGTTAAGTATAAATTTTGAAGAATTATTGCACATTTTGAAATGATTTTCCCAAAGATGTCTGCATTTCAGGTATATGTGATGTAAACACCTTTTTTTCCAATTCCATAAATGAGTAATTTGCAACTGATTATATTCTATTTAAAAGAACAATCAATATTTAACCTATATACTATAATGGTATGATGCAGCAGGTCTGATTTTAACAACTGTTTACAGCTATTGTTCAGACTACAGGAGAGCCAGGCAACACTCCAGAGGAACATGAAGAACAAGAAAACTAAGCCAGAGATAAGAGAGACATACAGAGTCTCCCTAGATAACTATCAGGTATGTTATAACAAGGCTGAGATAAGAGAGACATACAGAATCTCCCTAGATAACTATCAGGTATGTTATAACAAGGCTGAGGTTAGAGAGACATACAGAATCTCCCTAGATAACTATCAGGTATGTTATAACAATAGGTTAGAGAGACACAGGCTAGATAACTATCAGGTATGTTATAACAAGGATGAGTTTAGAGAGGAGCTAACATAGACAAACAGAAACTCCCTAGATAACTATCAGGTACATTATAACAAGGCTGAGATAAGAGAGACATACAGAATCTCCCTAGATAACTATCAGGTATGTTATAACAAGGCTGAGGTTAGAGAGACACACGGAGTCTCCCTAGATAACTATCAGGTATGTTATAACAAGGCTGAGGTTAGAGAGACATACAGAGTCTCCCTAGATAACTATCAGGTATGTTATAACAAGGCTGAGGTTAGAGAGACATACAGAATCTCCCTAGATAACTATCAGGTATGTTATAACAAGGCTGAGGTTAGAGAGACATACAGAATCTCCCTAGATAACTATCAGGTATGTTATAACAAGGCTGAGGTTAGAGAGACATACAGAGTCTCCCTAGATAACTATCAGGTATGTTATAACAAGGCTGAGGTTAGAGAGACATACAGAGTCTCCCTAGATAACTATCAGGTATGTTATAACAAGGCTGAGGTTAGACATACAGAGTCTCCCTAGATAACTATCAGATACGTTATAACAAGGCTGAGGTTAGAGAGACATACAGAATCTCCCTAGATAACTATCAGGTATGTTATAACAAGGCTGAGGTTAGAGAGGAGGTTAGAGAGACATACAGAGTCTCCCTAGATAACTATCAGGTATGTTATAACAAGGCTGAGGTTAGAGAGACATACAGAATCTCCCTAGATAACTATCAGGTATGTTATAACAAGGCTGAGGTTAGAGAGACACACAGAATCTCCCTAGATAACTATCAGGTATGTTATAACAAGGCTGAGGTTAGACATACAGAATCTCCCTAGATAACTATCAGGTATGTTATAACAAGGCTGAGGTTAGAGAGACATACAGAATCTCCCTAGATAACTATCAGGTATGTTATAACAAGGCTGAGATAAGAGAGACACACAGAATCTCCCTAGATAACTATCAGGTATGTTATAACAAGGCTGAGGTTAGACATACAGAATCTCCCTAGATAACTATCAGGTATGTTATAACAAGGCTGAGGTTAGAGAGAGAGACTATCAGGTATGTTATAACAAGGAATCTCCCTAGATAACTATCAGGTATGTTATAACAAGGCTGAGGTTAGAGAGACATACAGAATCTCCCTAGATAACTATCAGGTATGTTATAACAAGGCTGAGGTTAGAGAGACATACAGAATCTCCCTAGATAACTATCAGGTATGTTATAACAAGGCTGAGGTTAGAGAGGAGGTTAGAGAGACATACAGAACCTCCCTAGATAACTATCAGGTACGTTATAACAAGGCTGAGGTTAGACATACAGAGTCTCCCTAGATAACTATCAGGTATGTTATAACAAGGCTGAGGTTAGAGAAACATACAGAGTCTCCCTAGATAACTATCAGGTATGTTATAACAAGGCTGATGTTAGAGAGGAGGTTAGAGAAACATACAGAGTCTCCCTAGATAACTATCAGGTATGTTATAACAAGGTTGAGGTTAGAGAGGAGGTTAGAGAGACATACAGAATCTCCCTAGATAACTATCAGGTATGTTATAACAAGGTTGAGGTTAGAGAGGAGGTTAGAGAGACATACAGAATCTCCCTAGATAACTATCAGGTATGTTATAACAAGGCTGAGATAAGAGAGACATACAGAATCTCCCTAGATAACTATCAGGTATGTTATAACAAGGCTGAGGTTAGAGAGACACACAGAATCTCCCTAGATAACTATCAGGTACGTTATAACAAGGCTGAGGTTAGAGAGACATACAGAATCTCCCTAGATAACTATCAGGTATGTTATAACAAGGCTGAGGTTAGAGAGACATACAGAATCTCCCTAGATAACTATCAGGTATGTTATAACAAGGCTGAGGTTAGAGAGACATACAGAGTCTCCCTAGATAACTATCAGGTATGTTATAACAAGGCTGAGGTTAGAGAGACACACAGAATCTCCCTAGATAACTATCAGGTGATGTTTAACTATCAGGTATGTTATTTGTTATAACAGGTTATAACAAGGCTGAGGTTAGAGTTAGACATACAGAATCTCCTAGATAACTATCAGGTATGTTATAACAAGGCTGAGGTTACTTTGAGAGAGAGACATACAGAATCTCTAGGTATGTTATAACAAGGCTGAGGTTAGAGAGAGGTTAGAGAGACATACAGAGGTTCTCCCTAGATAACTATCAGGTATGTTATAACAAGGTGAGGTTGATAGAGAGACATACAATCTCCCTAGCATGTTATAAAAGGATGTTATAACAAGGTTAGAGATAACATCATCAGGTTATACAGGTTATAACAAGGCTGATGTTAGAGAAACATACAGAGTCTCCCTAGATAACTATCAGGTATGTTATAACAAGGCTGAGGTTAGAGATCAGGTATGTTATAACAATATTCTTAGGTTAGAGATCTCCCTAGATAACAATAACAATACTTAACCTATATACAGGTATGTTATAACAAGGCTGAGGTTAGAGAGACATGTCTCCCTAGATATGATTTTAACAACTGTTTAGAGCTATTGTTCAGAGGTTAGAGAGACATACAGAATCTCCCTAGATAACTATCAGGTATGTTATAACAGGTTGAGGTTAGAGAGACATACAGAACCTAGATAACTATCAGGTATGTTATAACAAGGTTGAGGTTAGAGAGGAGGTTAGAGAGACATGCAGAATCTCCCTAGATAACTATCAGGTACATTATAACAAGGCTGAGATAAGAGAGACATACAGAATCTCCCTAGATAACTATCAGGTATGTTATAACAAGGCTGAGGTTAGAGAGACACACAGAACCTCCCTAGATAACTATCAGGTACATTATAACATGGCTGAGGTTAGAGAGACATACAGAGTCTCCCTAGATAACTATCAGGTATGTTATAACAAGGCTGAGATAAGAGAGACATACAGAGTCTCCCTAGATAACTAGATAATTACAAAATGACAAGGTTTATGAGGATATTTGATGGTCCCCCTAATATTACTTTCATGACATTGGAAACATGTTTCAGCAAATTTTGAAAATTGTTCATGCATATTGTTTCCTTATTCCTATAATACAAAGATATGCACACAAAGACTTTCAGGAAGTATTTTTTTTAATGATTCTTTGACACAAGCTTTAAGTTACCTTAAAAGTGACATGACGGTCCATCCATCAGAATTTTGAAAAGCATTTTAGAAAACGATAATAAACTTTTAAGTCCATTTTACTGGCCTTCCCATCTGAAGTAATGCCATATTGTGATAACAATATTTCTTCTTACACAATATTTACCCCTTCTTAAAGCCTAAACATTTAAGGTATTTGAATGAAATAGTGATTTAATTATGTCATGGGTAAATGTCAGTGATATTGATCTATATGAGATAACCTGATAGTTTAATGACATACAAGAATCAAGAAATAGACATCTGATGTAGATTAGTTATGTACTTGACCTGTGATTTAGGAATAATTGATAATCGGGATATAATAGAAAATATTTACAGTGTCCATTGTAATTGTCTCTATAACCTTTGTAATGGTCATTATCATTATATATGGATAATGACATGGATGATGGACTCCTGTGTAACGTCATTCTGTAACACACTGGGCTTCAATATCACACATTTTGAAATGCCCCAAGGAAAATAAGGTTACTACGAATATGGTCCTTATGCTGATCTTGTTAATTTGTTTAGGTTTTCTGTGACAGAATCTCAATAAAACAACATTGAAATTTTGTATTTAGCAAATGAATTTTGAATATATGTGAAATATTGGTACAATTGTTGTCCGTTGAATTGCTATGGTATCAGAGAAACTGAAAGAGGTTGTTATAGCAAACTTTTTTTTTGTCTGTAACCTTTGGAATACATAGATTTGAAAAACTAAATATAAAGTCGCAAAGTTTATCCATAGATATAAAGAAATGTTTTTATGTTTGTACAGGACTTTGTGGGATGGTTAGTGGAACACCAGTTCCTGTGTCTGTCCGGTTCATCCTTCGCCCGCCGCACCACCTGTCTGTCCATCCTGTCTCTAGTTATCACAGCTCTTCCTTACATAGGTAAGACTTCTGTTATTATTTTTGATGGTATCCATGGTAACCTGATCAACCAAAACAAGTATTTATTTGAAATGATTTGTGACTTAATTACTATTGTATTTTTCACCAGTATTGAGAAATATTTATACAATTATCCATGTCCTCATTTGGTAATTTGTTCCACAAAGATATTTATCAGGTTGAAAAAATAGATAGACCAAAGGACTCTTGTGTCAAGTTATTTCAGTGTTTGGTAGTTTATCATTTGCATAGTAGATGACCTTGCGTTTGGCTTGGTAGGATGTCTCATTTTATTACCAAGGAGTTGACCTTGAGTTTGACCTGGTTAAATATGTTTTCATTGCATAGGAGATAACCTTGGGTTTGACCTGGTCGGCTGTGTCCATGCCCCACAGCTTCAGTCCCTCCTGGAGTGTCTCACAGATACATTTGAAGAAAACAAGATGGAAGCCACAAAAATCCTACAGTATTGTTGTCAGCACCGCAGGGACCACGAGGTACTTACTGGTTGTGTTTCCCTCCTTCAGATTTTAGTAATCATTGTCCATGACAGAATGCTTCAGATTTTTTTTTAAAATTTTTCCACATATTAGCACAATTTTCACATGTTGAAATATGTATCAGAAATTTTGACCTCAATTTTTGAATATGTAGCTTAATCTGTTGTTGTTTTCCATAGGGCCTTTCAAACTTAGAGCCTCTTTTTGACACTGCCTTGACCTTGGCTGCATCAACACGACCCCAGGATTGTACTACGGCAGCTTACCTCTTCAAAGTCCTTCTGGTACAACCAGAAATATATGACATTCTGAAAAACTCAAACAGCTATCAGTCAAAACTCTTCCTAACAAAACACAGAGAGACATTCTGTCTGCCTCCAGCGGACAATAGCCAATCAGGACGAAGTCTACTGTTGCTATGGATACTATTGTCATACCTACAAGATCAGAAGGAGGTTGCTAAAGAAAGTCTGATCATGGCTGCTGCAAACCGTCCCTTATATCCTACCCTGCACTGCATCAGATATGTCCTATTCGACGTGGCATTGAAGTAAGCAGGACTTCTTTACCTGTTGAAACTATGACATCTGTCTTCTACTCAGCTGGTGTAACATGTGATTGTGCCAAAACAGTTTCAGATAAATATGTAATTTATAAACAAACATAATGTGTGGTAAAGTAATATATGAAAAAAAATATCTGAACAGTTTAGACTTATCACCCTATATACTGTATGTGTAGATGTCCTCTCCATTAAAACCTTTGGACACCAGTGAGACATAACGTGGTCAATGACTTTTTCTCCTCCACAGAAACCTTGCACAGGATCAGTCTCTTCAGCACTGGCAGTCCTTCATACAGAACCTTATCAACATTTGCCTGGAAATTTCAGAAATTGTCTCCCCTGTTGTCCATAACACATCACCAGAGGGCAACGTACCAGTGGAAGCCATTGGTGGTAAAGTTCTTCTGTAGATTAGATTGACACATTGATACAGGTCACGCAAAATTTGATGAAAAGTCTTCACGTTGGAACATCGAAACCATTAAACAAGAGAAAGTCATTATACACAAACAATTAACGTTGATGTGGAGGGATTTTATATAATCTGCTGTCACTGTAAAGTACTCACTAGAGATTAGGTTGTCAGTGGAGACAGGTTGTCAGTGTAGACAGGTTGCCAGTGTAGACAGATTGTCAGTGTAGACAGGTTGTCAGTGTAGACAGGTTGTCAGTGTAGACAGCTTGCCAGTGTAGACAGGTTAACAGTGTAGACAGGTTGTCAGTGTAGACAGGTTGTCAGTGTATACAGATTGTCAGTGTAGACAGGTTGTCAGTGTAGACAGGTTGTCAGTGTAGACAGCTTGCCAGTGTAGACAGGTTAACAGTGTAGACAGGTTGTCAGTGTAGACAGGTTAACAGTGTAGACAGAATGTCAGTGTAAGAAGTATAATGGAGGAGGGGTATTTTCAGATCTCCACCCAACAATCACTGAACAGCTTTCCATTTCATCTGACCACAATTTATCTGCCAATCTTTATGGTATGATTGATATCACATGTGTTGACTTCCTGAAATAGATGTTAAGTGATGTCACTGCTGACAGGTGATAGGAAATTAGAATATGTGACAAGTATATACATTTCCTGGTACATTGAAATAACATGTTTCCAGAAAAATGAAAAATTTTAAATATTGTTTTATAGTCCCAGAGATTTTTAGAACCTTACATGGGTCTGTAGACAGTGTAAGAGTTTTGTTGGTCAGTTAGAGGCAAGCAGCCAAACTCTTACATGTGGGTTGAGATATCTTTGTTCACTGAATAGACATGTTTTGACTATTTTCCTCCCATATTGAAAAAAACGGAAAAAGAAATAAAACTTGATGACATTATCAATTTTGTGGCATGGAAACTTTATATAAAATGACCCATTGTAGTTAGTACTATAGAGGATGTTAGCTGTCTTTTCCCTGGATTTGTCTTTACCTTTAAAACCTGTCATACACTTGCGAAGTATAGGTGAAATATACTGTTTAATATGTTAATGGAACAAGTAATGTTTGTGTAAAGTTTAAGTTGAAAGTATCTAAGTGAGTGTGTTTCAGACCTACATTGTCTTAGATAACGCTAATTCAGTGATTCAAAACATGAGGTAGGTGTTGTGATGTCATTATTCACTGTCTTATTTCAGGCTTGAACCTGGACACTCTCCTTGACCCCGACAGTCTAAAGGATGCTGAGCGGAGTAAAGAGACAGTGATGTTGATGCCAGAGTACCTTGTTGTCTGCTGCTGGAGAAATATCAAAGAGGTATCCCTCCTCCTCGGCCAGCTAAATCTAGCAGCACCCATCTCTGATCCAGGCAGGCCTGACGTTGAGGGACTTCTATCATGTGACCAGGTGATAATGCTACTGCTGTAGATATATATTTCAAGGCTTGAATTTTATTGTATTTACTCTCAATTAAATGGAAATTTACCAACATTGTTGTTTTCTTTACGTTTTTAAGATACTGGTGATGGGAAACTATTTCAAGAAGCAGCTGCTGGAGTCAGTACATAGAGGTGCTTTTGAGCTGGCTTATGCTGGCTTTGTCAAGATGGCTGATATGTTATGGAGGTTTGTTTCTCACATTATAAATTTACAGTCTTTTACATGGATTCAGTGGGTCATATGAACTTGAAAACCAACAGATTTAAGACCCTTATAATGCATAAAATATCTGTCAACCAAGAATCAAGGTAGATATTCTAAAATGTTGGGAAAACTAACCTGATTCCTGGCATACAAAAAAAGTTATTTAGAAAGTGATCTACTGAAGCATCAAAGATACTGTCTTACGAACGTTATCCTATTAAAAAACTGATGTTTTCTGATTTTAACCCACCTGGAATAAATAATCCATCACTCCAACAGGATCTGACCTTCATGTGACCTTCATCCTTCGGATATTAACCCTTTTGGCGCCAATTATCTCTTACAATGTACAGCTCAGCGCCAAATATTTTCCGGAAAATATCCGAAAACAATGGCAGCATTACTGAAACAAGCATATCTTGGCTAATAATAAAGATATGTAACTTTATTGACCAAAGTCGCCTACGGTGCCGAAAGGGTTAAATGTTATCAATTTCTCTCTTCAGGAGTAACATTCAGGAGTTACACAAGCTACCACGGAGATGGCTACAGGAAGTAATGGCAGACATCCAAGCAGATGATCCTAATTCGAAGTTGTGTTCTACTCGTCGTAGTGCTGGTGTACCCTTCTACATTCAGGTCTAGTTCAAATACTTACATAACAGATTGAGAAGGAAGTAGACTACATATGTTGAATCTTTCTCCAAAATGTCATTACAAATCTGTCAAAGTTGAAATGGTCTGTCTGAAGGGTCACTCTAAACAATATTAATCATTCTTGGATGATTTTAGCAGATAGAAATGTTAGTAAACAGCTGACATTTACCTGTAATTTATCATATTTATCAAAACATGGAAATTGTTTTTATTATCAAGTTTTTTGTGGTGGATTCATAATATAATCTCACTATCTTTATCTTATAATAATAATAATAATAATAATAATAAATTTATTCAGGAAAGATTTGCACAAATGTATACAAAGCATGATAAATAAAATACATGTTACATAGTACATAAGGTGAAAAATTGACATAAATAAAACATGCAACACCGGAACATAAAATCACAATAAAGACAGCTGATATATATGTTAAACAAATCTATCCAAGGATAGCCCCAAAAGCATAACAATATACGCTTATTTCCGTTGGGGTCCTTCATCTTGAATTAATTTCGTTTCACACTGTTAAATTACTAGATATCTTCAGTAATATCTTTATACTTAGGTCTGAGGTACCTGTAAATTGTTACCTGACATTGTGTATTTCAGACTTTAGTCACCACAGAACCAATAAGTACAGGCAGGCCATGCTTTAAACAGACAATGACAGAACTCCTACAGATGGCGCTGTTAGACAGTACAGGACAGGAGTCAGCCTCAAACCCACAGGTATGATTAATCTGTGGCTCTGTGGGAAACGGTGAAAACTATCATCAGATCAAGTCTCCAATATCACTAATATTTAAGTCTCTAATGTAAAGAAAAGTCTATGTACATGTACCTGTCTATAAAATTCAACTAAGAATAGAATTTCAGTCTTGGACTATAAAATTAGAATCTGTATGTCAAAAACAGCCTATAAAGTCAATGTATACCAACACCTGTCTATAAATGTCACCTGTCTATAAATATCACTGTTATACCATAACCTGTCTATAAAGGTCACTGTAGTACAGCACCTGTCTATAAAGGTTACTGTGGTACCAGCACCTGTCTATAAAGGTTACTTTGATATCAACACCTGTCTGAAAATGTTACTGTGGTACCAGCACCTGTCTATAAAGGTTACTTTGATACCAACACCTGTCTAAAAATGTTACTGTTGTACCAGCACCTGTCTATAAAGGTTACTTTGATACCAACACCTGTCTAAAAATGTTATACTGTTGTACCAGCACCTGTCTATATAGGTCACTAGTACAGCAGCTGTCTATAAAGGTTACTTTGATACCAACACCTGTCTAAAAATGTTACTGTTGTACCAGCACCTGTCTATAAAGGTTACTTGTACCAACACCTGTCTATAAAGGTTACTTGTATCAACACCTGTCTATAAAGGTCACAATTATACTTACATCTGTCCCAAACAGTCACCTGTCACATATCCCTTTAACAGTCAACTATGTATTCCAATATATTTTTACTGTATTCATATCTGGTGAGTTTTTATAACCCACCCCTTGTTCCTGTAGTAATTTTCTAATTTAATATTATTTATACTTCAAAATTGTTTATCAAATTTTCATTAATTATAATGATAGTTGCTAATACTGCGTATTGGTTTGGATGAGTAATGATAGTGTAGTGTATGGTTGAATGTTTTCCTCTTTCAAAATTTCTTACATATAACCATGGAGAAGGTTTATATAGGCTTTGCCTGAGTATCTGATCCCTTTTTATACATTGTTTATATATAATCAAATTTGCTGAAATGAAAATACCCAACAAAAATGAAACTTGCACAAAAATTATTTATTATGCTGCACTGGAAACTATAGAAAGGCTGTCTTGACTGTGAATGCTGGCTTGTGTATTCCAATCTCTTCAGAAAAGAACTAAACTGATTTTTTTAACATTTAATTGATGTTTGATATTAGTTGCTGTAAAATCCTGAAATTAACTAGGATCTGAAATAGCTACGTGAAAGAATGTTTTGAATGTGTAATGACCAGAATTACAATTTAGCTTCAAAAATAAACTTTGTTATGTAACATGTATTACCTGTCAATCATACTTTTTTTACCTGTTTTATTACGAGGAATACTGGCTTTGTGGCATGATTGTGTCTGGACTTGGTTATCACTGTTAAATGAGGAAGTGCATTTTTGGGTCATTTTGCCCTCATTCAGTAATATTTTTTTGGAAGGAAGGTACTGTTAGGTTTACCTTTCTCTGTTAAAATGATGTAACAAGCTCTAAGATATAAAGAGTGTGAGAGGGTTAAGTAATAATTAAAAGTATTGTTTTCTTAGATGGAAGTCAGAAAAATACTCCATAGACAATATTACATGTTTATCCATAATTGATCTCATTGCATAAAATCAAATGTATCATAATTCATTTTGTACCTATAAAAATTGCTAAATCTTGTGAGGACTAGAATATCTTTACACAACAATTATATAATATTTTCATTGTCTGGGATTGATGTAAATTTCTACAGTATGTAAATGTTAGTATTGTGTTACTTCACACTGTGACATCAGGCTTGGGGTGGAGAGTGCTAGCTTACTGAGATCACTGTGTCACCAGGTTGTTTGGACAAGGTGATAGGTTAAGCAAGCTGTTTGTACAGGGTGATATGTTAGCAAATGTGATACTCTGTATAGATAGAAACACCTACTCAATCAGAGATGTTCTAATACATGTCAATTAATTATAACATCTCAAAATTTCAAAATCAATTTTCAGATTTTGACATTGAGTTGTTTATTAATTTTTGCCACTTTGAGGAAATACCTAGAATGATATAAGAAAGCGTAAAGCTTAATTAGATGTCTATTTTATTATAATTAAACATGATCAGAAAAGAAATGATGATACTATAATATATCAATACTTACAAGTGAATAATTTGTAGGTGCATGCCTTGAACACTCTGAGGTCGCTGTACCGAGACACAAGACTCGCTGATGATGTGGCACCCTTTGTAGCTGATGGACTGCGGGCAGCCATACTCGGGTTCCAGAATCCATTTTGGGCTGTAAGTCAGACAACTTGAGTGTATTTAAAATAAATTAATCATTCTTTAAAATCTTTTAAATATATTTGCTAACAGTAAATCAAATGAATTGTTACATTTTGTTGATGTTTATTTTTTTTTTCTGTCAATTATTGTGGAATAGTTACAGTATAATTGTGATAATATTGACATTGAAATCACATGATTTTGACTCCAGGTACGGAACTCTGCCACACTTCTATTGAGTGCTCTAGTGACACGTATTTTTGGGGTTAAAAGGAGCAAGGATGAAAGTAGTGTGTCCAAGAAAAACTGGTAAGTTTTACTGCCTTAAAGATCTAGAAACACGTAATGATAAGTCCTTCTGGTTTGTCTGATCTAAAAAGTCCTGGGGGACATTTGTTATCAATAAATGATCTGTACATGTCTGTCCTCAGGACGTACATATCCACAGAATGAAAGGACAAGTAGAAAGACAGGTATAATTACTAATTACTGAGAAATATAATTACCTCAGACATGAGGTTGTATTGTTGTCCCTTCCTGTGACTGTGTCCTCTTCTTATTTGGTAGTGAATATATGTTATATCTTTGCTTTGTCTTTACTTTTAATCATGATAAAATTAATGATAAAATAAAATAACATGATAAAGACGGCATATTTGCCTTTCAATCTTTGTATGTCGGATTCATTGTTTTAAATTTTCTTTATATAATCCCTCAATGAAAGTGACATAAGTATATAGATGTATTGTACTTATGTCTTTTCAAGAAAATTGTCAGTATACCGACTTTTTTTAAGTAACAGACGATGTGTACAACAAGCCATCACAATTCTAATTATTTCATATATAAAATAGGAAATTTAACCAACATATGTTTAATCATACCAGTTATTCTCATATCAATACATTTTTAATTGATAAGTTTTTATATAAACTAAATATATTTATTCAGAACAATTGCATTATTGGTAAAATAGAAAATTTAACAAACATATGTTTAATCAAACCATTTATTCTCATATCAATACATTTTTAATTGATATGTCTTTATATAAACTAAATATATTTATTCAGAACAATAGCACTATTGGTAAGTGAAAATAAAATATCTACAATAAAATTTATTTCTTTTACTATCAGATAATTAACTGACTTTGTTAATTGATCTAAGACATCTGATACTGATTAAATAAATAATGACAAAATTTGTAGTTACAAATAATAATAATGATATGTTGTTGTATCAGAATTACTGATAAATATTTCTGATACACAAATATAAACTGACACATTTTAGTGTGTGGTTTACTACCTCCTTGATATAAAAATGATAATTAAAGTTGATTTATTTTACTGTTTTTTTTTTTAAATTATGAAATAGGAAAAGATTTTCACTTACAAAAGTGAATAAAAGATTTTCACTTACAAAAGTGAATAAAAGATTTTCAAGAAAGGATAAAAATAGATGCGAAATTGTACATTAGATGGTTGTGATAAACAAATAGCTTGTCAAACAAGGTTTATAATGAACTTGATTTAATATAAAACAAGATTTATTTGTGTGATTACAGTCTGACAAACACATTAATTACTATTACTTGTCAACTAGCATGTACAACACCAGATACTCTGATAAGGTCAACTAAACAGGTAGGTGCAGGTGTGAAAACATGACTAGATCCTAGCCCCAGATAACCAGCTTACCTGTACACACATAACCACTGTTAGATTGGTCTCTACACCTTAGCCCTAAAGCTGACACATGCCACTAGGCTAATCAAAGCTCTACCATGATTGGCTAGTACCACCAGCTCTACCTTTACCTGAGTTCTGATTGGCTGAGCACCAGACATAGACATTTAATTGTTACCTGATCTAATTGTACTAATAGTAAAATGTAGTTCTTTTGTAAATTGTGTTTTGAAAAACCGAAAATTCTTGATTACAATTTATGGTCTGAATGTACTGGTGTCAAAGTGAGTGACCACTAGCTGTAACTTGACCAGGATATATATAAGCTTGGTCAGCCAGATGAAGGCAGTATTGAATGAGATTTCAAACAGTAAGGACATTGATGATTTTGTATTAGTATTCCTAGTTACAGTTTAAACTGGTAACATCATGTATTTGGACATCACGTTTAGTTCTGGGAGTGGTATGTTTAATCGTCGAAAGTCCATTAGTGCAAAGTGTGTATTAGACATTACCCTTAACCCTGGTTTAACAGGAGCATCTCTGGAAAGAATTGACCAGTTTGATAAAGTCTTTAAAAAGCGAAGACGTCAACATAGAAAAAGTTCTGAACATGCACAATTGAAGAAACTGGCTAAAAATAATGCTAGCTGCATGTCTGACCTGCATCACTCCTTGGCTGCCATTGAGTTCGAGGCTAGTAATCGCCTCTCTTCAACATGCTACGCTGACGACATGTACGACACAGACAATGATGAAGAGATAGTAAGTTATATATCATCGTGGGCAGTCTCGTTTGAGAAGTTACTACAGTGTGTGGGTGGCATTTCAGTGTTCACCGAGTTTCTCAAAAAGGAATTCAGTGAAGAAAATATCTTATTTTGGAGGACTTGTGAACAATTTAAGAGTATTTGTGATCCTAATCGAAAAAAAACTGCAGCTAAAGACATTTACACCAAGTTTATATCAGAGATGGCACTGAATGCGGTAAATGTAGATCATACTACCAGACAACAAGTGGAGCTTGAGCTCCTTACACCTAGTGAGTCAACTTTTGATCAAGCACAGCAGGAGGTGTACAGGCTCATGAAAACAGACAGTTACCCAAGATTTCTTAAATCGGAGTTATACAAGACGTATCTGATGAGGGAAATGAACAATGAGCCACTTGGCCTTCCTAAGGATGATTTCCGGGGAATTCTGAGTAACAAAGAGCACAAAGGCAAGAAAAGACTGACAAAAACAAAGGGACAGGATACAGAGGACACCAAGTTCAGAAAACGTTTGTCACTGTTGCCATGGAAGCAAAAACCAATGAAACAAGCTATTAAAGCGAAGTCTGATTCTGACCTGAAGAAGAATAACTGTAGTTCTCTTACAAACAAAACAACATCTGACACCGATCTGAAAGCACACCGCTGTATCTCCGCCTCGTCTAATTCCATGGACTCTGATGTCAACAGTACGACCTTGACGCGACCTGGATTATCGATTGACCTTGAAACCATTCATAAGGAGATAAAGGCCAACAACAAAGAGGTAAGCATGACTATAAACAACTAAAGGATGAATTTTGTGTAATAGACGTTGATAAGACAGCCATTTGAATTAAGGAGTGTTGCTTAATGTTTTCTAGGATTAGAATTTAAATATCTTTTTATCTCTTACAAACTTGCAGTTATTAGCAATGGTATACACCCTCATAGACTTCACTACCTTATGTTGTGTAATTTTGATTTCAAACTATGTTACTTTCATACCAGTCATCACCAATGGTATAATTACAATCACTGCTAATACTTTCACCGATATTTAATTCCCATTGAAGGCTCTATTTTCTGTTATTACAAAATTCTTATTGTTGTTCTTTAATGTAAATTCACAGGATGACCACGAAAACGGAGACGATTTCCACTTCTGCCGCGTGATCTTACCAGATGGTTCTTCGACCGTCGTCAGCGCTAAGCCTGGTCAGACAGTTGAGGCAGTGCTAGGACGTCTGTGCACCAAAAGGAACATCCCATTCAAAGCAATTGACGTTTCTCTCGTTGGATCTACGAAACCTCTGAACCTCTCAAAAGACATCTCTACTCTGGCCTCATTAGAAATTGTTATCAACAGACGTGTAATGTTTTGTGTGGAACTGCCAAATGGAAAGTCTATCGCAGTGAAGACAAAACCTCATCGTTCCATCAGTGAAGTTTTGACTCCTGTCCTCCAGAAACATGGTGTCAAGTTAAATCAGGTGTGTGTGCAACTGTCAGGACAGAGAAGGATGTTGAGCATTAATAAGGATGCCAATGTCTCAACAATTGATAATCGTCGTATCCTTCTTAAATCGGAAACCTCACAGGTGGTAAACAGACAGCAAAGAAAGTCCTCAATCCAAGGGTTAATCTCTGGGAAGAAGGAGAACAAGAATGATCTTCCTGGGGGAAGAACATTACTGGAAAGTGAAGTGTGAGATACACATGTATAGCAGAACTATTAAGACTCTGAAGTGTGTAGACATTGTACTAGATTCTCAGGACCAAATCATTTCAGTGCTATATCAACTGTAGCTGTGAACTATTTATTTCATTAACAATTAATAAAAAAAAAATGAAATTAAAAAAATTGTCTTTTTTGTTTTCATTCAGGTAAATTATGATATCCTTAAACCAGTTCTTTTATACTTTGTAATGTAAGTTATACCTGTCCACTGACTGACCAGTTTTGTCTGGCCAATCAAATGATCAGAAGAAATAAGTATTCTTCTGGTCAAGGTTGTCACTATAAGAAATTCAGTAACAATAGTGACCTGAGATTTACAGCTGGAATTTCAAAATTATCTTTTCCCATCCATACAAAGTAATATTTATATCGTTTTAAACAGCAGAGTTTCATAATATTTACGGATTACCACAGTACTTAGTACATAGAAATTGTACCAACAAATATAGACATAAAGACAAGGACTAGTCCATTACCTCATTAAAGATATGTGTATTGTATATGTTTACCCTTTAATCAGAGTTTAACTACCATCCAGTTAGTTAAAGTTCTGTGTCAAAGCCAGATACATATTTGATGGATTTGACACAATGTAAAATTTGAATTATTTTTTAGTATACAAGTGTTCATACACTGTAAAAACCTGTTTTTGTTTAAATTCAACTGGGAATACAACAACACCTGAAATAAAATTTTGATACAAAGAATTCTTGTTCGATAAGAGTTATCTAGGTATATATTCATGTATCTGTGTGAAATAAGACTACAGTATACCTCTTATTGCCTTTGAGATAAATGTTCCTGTCACTGGAGCGTCTGGATTCCAGGATATTCTGGATATATCTTTAATAATGGTCTCCTGGCACAAAGGTTACACTGTTGCCTGACCATAGTGAACTTGGTTAGAGGTTGTCTCATTATTGACAATACAAACTTTCATTAAGAGGGATTTTTTTTTTTTTTTTTTTTGTAAAATAATTTTGAAATCTGTTACTTGTCTAAATATTCTGTGTAATGTTTGTTTCATAAAAAATTCAAAATTTGTCTCAAGTACTATGTATCTAGAAAATTCAAATGACTCCTCACATTGCATTGACACTATTGCAGATATTAACTGAAGACATTCAGAGAAATTACAAGTGTATCTTTCACTTCACAATTCTATTTTATTTACTGACAGCCAGACAGGAAGGGCCTTTTTCCACAGATACCCTTCTCTGTACAAGTTTCTGTTGGACCAGCTAGCCACAGCAACAGAAAACATAGGGTATGTTATTAATCATTTTCTGTAGAGAAGGACTGAAGTGATAGCATTAGTCTCTATACCAAATCTTCATAACACAATAATTATAGGTACTTTTTTAACAATGTTTTAACCATACTAAATTGTTTTCAGTAATTATGTTAATTAAAAGATTTTAATTATACAATTTCCTGGTTGATTTGCAATCATTCTTTGGATTTAAATATGATATCATGGACAAACCTTTCTTACTTATTTCCAGTTTCAAAGTGTTAGTTTCTTTAATTAATTAATGTCATTGTTTTTTTAATCAAAATGTTCCAAGGATAGTATATATTATACTGTGTACCATTAGCATTTAAAGTTTTAATAACATCTGTAAATTTACAAGTATAACAATGGACACTAACTGAAGCAGTGTGATGGTGAACAGATTCTACAGAATACCTATGTATATCTATACATTTGTACAACACCTGATAATCAGAAGACTGACATGAAATGTTTCTATTTGACTATTCACACGCAGGAACTCTGAGGGTATGTTATACCTGCATCCGTCACTCTACCCCATACTGATGGTCCTCGGAAGGTTGTTTCCCTCTCATCTAGAGGGCGCTGATACCAGCCTCAATCTGGCTGCCTTCATCCCATACGTCATTAAGTAGGTATCCCATCCCCAAAACAGTAACTAGTAAATTACCACTCCAGTTCCTGTTTATATTAGTTTGGAAATATTTATTTTTACATAATGAAATAAGACCTTGAAGCAATGATACATGTGCAATAATATTAGGGTGATATATTATAAATGCTTACAATAAAATACTGAATGTTTTAAACTTTAACAAAACCAATAAATTTCTTAATGGTATTTTGATATTCCTTTCAGTCAGTAAGCTCTAGACATGGCAAAAATAGACATTACATTTTTAGATGTATAAGATTATTTGAGAGTTCCTGGTTGTTCTGTAAGTATTAAAAGAAAAGTGAAAGATGTAAGATTTGAGCTTTTTGAGATTTGAGAATGTATAGGTTCACAGAGAGACAGATTTATCGTCAGAATTATTATAAATTAATCACTGGTTTGCTATCTTAGATGCAGTTCTAGTGCTGTATACAAGACTAGGATCATGTCTGCCAAAGCTCTACAGCCATTGGTTCTCCCAGGTCAGCTGACCTCTGTACTTACACAACTGCTGGACATGCTTCCTGACTTCGGCGTGAAATCACCCAATCAGAATCTCATCCATGGACTCTTACCCCAGGTTTGTTTATATATCATCATTGGATCTTTTTTGTTTCATTTTGAAGAAAATATATCAAGTGTCTTACTCTGCATGACTTGGGAAACTATAAAATCTCCAGTATTATTCCCTGGTAAACTTCAGGCAGATTAGAAATATCATTACACATGGTTGTTCACATATAGTCCTTTAACGATGTTAACTTTGTATTCGAGAAATAGAAATTGTACCGATAGATCTTTTCCAGCATCTGTGATATGAACAATTATAGATATATATATTTTTGTACACACAGGTCCACCAGCTGATTCAGACTCTACCAAGTGTCAGTGAGAACATCAGGGTCCAAGCTGGTCATCTCCTCTTGTCAAAGTGGCTCAACAAAATCTGGCTTATAACAAGGTAACACAGATATATTACAGATCACATGTAATGTCTTCACATTGGAATAGCTGTAGAGGTTGAGAGTACAGGTTGCCTTACTAGCTGTAGAGGTTGAGAGTACAGGTTGCCTTACTAGCTGTAGAGGTTGAGAGTACAGGTTGCCTTACTAGCTGTAGAGGTTGAGAGTACAGGTTGCCTTACTAGCTGTAGAGGTTGAGAGTACAGGTTGCCTTACTAGCTGTAGAGGTTGAGAGCACAGGTTGCCTTACTAGCTGTAGAGGTTGAGAGTGCAGGTTGCCTTACTAGCTGTAGAGGTTGAGAGTACAGGTTGCCTTACTAGCTGTAGAGGTTGAGAGTACAGGTTGCCTTACTAGCTGTAGAGGTTGAGAGTGCAGGTTGCCTTACTAGCCTTGACTGGTAGGAATTTCCCCTAGGTCGAGCAGTAGAGTATACAGCTAGAGTTCGAAGATGTCGCTAGTTCGAACCCCACAGTGGCAAGGTGTTTTCAATACTCCTCCTTTCAGATTCAGCATTGTTGACCACACAAGGATAGAAGATATATGAGATTGAGATGCTTCCTTGGAGATATTGAACCTGGGTTGTTGTTGTCTTTTGGGTCAAAGACTTTGTGAAGGAGGGAGTAGTGTAGGTGTGAAGAATTTAGGTGACCTTACTTGTCTCAGCTAGTGGGAATTTCCCTTCTGTAGAGCAGTAGAGTGTTCGGCTAGAGACCAAAGGGTTGTTAGTTCAAATCCTGGCAGTGGCAGCGTGTTTGTCATTACATCATCGTATAACATAACTATATGTTGTTCTGTTTACAGTATAATGGAACTTTTCAATAAAGACTGCCTATTGATAACACATTATCTGATTTTATGGGATGAGTGGTGATTTAGATCTAGTGTTAATGTGGTGTATGGATTGATCTGATTTGATCAGGATCAAACTATCATGCTACGCGAGAGTCTGGATAAAACTGATGACTAGGGAGACATTTACAGACTGTTGGAAAGATAAGGGGACCTGATATAACATATAGATAGTGAACATACAGTCATAAACAACATTTAAAGACAATATAACTACATTTCATGATATTGAAATGTCTTTTTTTCAGACGAAATACCTGTGTGATGACAAGGACAGAAGCTCTAAATGTGACGTACAGAATCATCAAGATTTACCAAGATGTGGAAGATGAAGAAATATTGTTAACACTTACAACAATTAGAGATGAATATACGAAAGTTTTACAACAAGAACTTGACCTATTTGACCTCAAGGATTGGCCACAACTGGCCGGATTTACAGAATTTGTTGTGGCTGTTGCACGACTAGAGCTCACACATGTAAAGGGAAATAACTCTGGTATAATATCCCTCCTGAGGAGATTACTACAGTGTGCTTATTATGAGGTGAGATTGATAGCACTGGTGTTTATAAGAGATATTTTCTATGGTGATCAGTCTGATGCCACACAGGAGGACACGCGGACACTAGTGTTCCAGGGGGTGGAGGTCTCCAGTGAGTTCAGCAGAGATCTACTGGTCACTCTTAGAAACGAGATAGGAGAGTCTGTATCCATCCTGAATCTATTGTTACAACGAGGCTTGACTGAGGAGACACACTATGAATGTATCATCCAGGTAAAAATCATGTTTACCTAGTAAATCTATAGTATCAAGTCAAAAATCATGTTATCCAGGTAACTTTAAATCATACAGGTAAATCTACAGGTAAATTTAAATCATCCAGGTAAATTTAAATCATCCCGGTAAATTAAGATCATCCAGGTAAATTTAAATCATCCCGGTAAATTAAGATCATCCAGGTAAATCTACAGGTAAATTTAAATCATCCATGTAAAAATTATGTTATCAAGGTAAATCTATATCATCACAGTAAAGTAATATTATTGCATTGAATTTAAATAATCCAGGTAAATTTAAATCATCCCGGTAAATTTAAATAGTCCAGGTAAATCTACAGGTAAATTTAATCATCCAGGTAATAATTATGCTATCAAGGTAAATATATATCATCCTGGTAAAGTAATGTTATTGAAGTAAATTTAAATAATCCAGGTAAAAATCATACTATCCAGGAAGATCTATATCATCCAGATAAACATTATGTTATCCAGGTATGTCTAAAATATCCAGAATCTATATATCTATATTATCCAGATAAAAATCATATTATCCTGGTAAAAGTCATGTTATCCAGGTAAATATATAACATCATGTACATATCTCTACATTAATTTTTTCCAATCTTAAAACGAAAAAAATGTTGGAAGTCTAGTACTAAAGTTAGCAAAAACACAAACAGGTTAATAAATTAACTAAATTTATGTTAAAATCATATTTATTATGTAAAGCTATTTCAGTAACATATATTGATAATTTAGAACCTTTGAAAAAAGCTATAGTGTTCTTAATTAGTCTATACAGGTGTCTAAAAAGCATCAACAGAATTATTTTTTCTCCCTAATTTAGGCATTTTGTTTTTCAAAAAGTTTATGTTAAGATTATTTACATGTAGTTTTCCTCCTAGATTTCTTGATTATAAAACAAAGTAAAATTAAGCTGTATTACATTTAAGTCTTTATCTGTTGTTTATCTATAGGTGTTTGAAGTATTAGCCTGCCATCCTCTTCTTTCTGCATGGGACTGGACATTGTCAGGAGGACCAACGCCATCACAGGTTACCTCCCTTTGTACATTCATGTAACACTGTTACAAGTTACCTACATTCATACATGCACACTCTATGTATTATAGATGGAAGATCAACATTCACTCTGGTATGAATGTTAGATGGAATTAATTCATTCTCATAATGACTACCAAAATTTGATAACTAAACATGGATAAAAAAATTTTGCTAAATAGTATTTTGAATTGTCAGTGGTAATTTGAAGAAGGAAGATTAATTCCTTCAGTCCTGAACCTGTGTTTAGCACAGTAGATTTTCTGATAGACAACATGACCGCTTTGCATTCCTTTCCTCTTACAATTACTCTCTAATGATAGTTTAACTGTATTACCTGGTAAAATGCCGGTATATACACATGCAATAGGTCTGTTTACAGTAGATAGGAAACAGATCTCTTCCTTTAACACAAGGGTCACATAACTTTGTAATCATTGAAACCAATTCATATTTATTTTTCTCTTTAGAATCTTTTTTGGTTATTAATTAATTTCACTTTATTATCGTTTTGCTCATAACAACAAATTCCTTCTGTTTTTTTTTTTTTTTTTTTGGGGGGGGGGGCGGGGGTGGGGGGGTTGTTCAGATTTAGGTATATTATAGAAAATCCTCTTCACACCATAGGTTTACATCTCTTAGTCTGATTGTTTCTTCTGAGGTATGGACATGTGAACCAATCACCTGTAATAATTTCCAGAAATGTTTTGAACTTTAATATATATATATATTTTTTTTTGTCCATGTTATATAGATATTATGATGTAATATATGAGAAAAAACATCAGACTATCACAGACTCCTGTTGTTGTTATATAGATATTGTGATGTAATATATGAGAAAAAACACCAGACTATCACAGACTCCTGTTGTTGTTATATAGATATCTTGTTGTAATATATGAGAAAAAACATCAGACTATCACAGACTCCTGTTGTTGTTATATAGATATCTTGTTGTAATATGTGAGAAAAAACACCAGACTACCACAGACTCCTGTTGTTGTTATATAGATACTGTGATGTAATATATGAGAAAAAACACCAGACTATCACAGACTCCTGTAAGATATACCATAGCTTACCTTTTATTGTTTTACTCATCATGAGTCATACAGAGTATATAGTGCTCTCTTATAAATACAGATTGATGCTTGACATTCTGACATTGAAAAATTGTAATTTGAGGATGTATTTCCTAAGTGCTTTGTTTTGCTGTGTTATATATGTTTGAAGAGAATTAGGAAGATGTTTTGAAACTTCATTATTTATGTATTCTGCCGTTTACCCCTGTGACCTTTGGTCATTGTGGCTTATCAGAATTCTCTGGCCTTAACTCATATGACCTTTGTAAATGATATGTATCAGAATGATTTAACCTTTACCCTTTTGACCTTGTCATTGTAATCAACAATCTGCTTTGACTTTTAACCATGTGACCTTTGTCACAATGTTATTCATAAGATTGCTTTGATCTTTACCCTTTTGACCTTGTCATTGTAATTATCACACTGCTATGACCTTTAACCTTTTAACTTTTGTCAATGTTATTTATCAAACTGTTTTGACCTTTACCCATTTGACCTTGTCATTGTAATTATCAGACTGCTCTGACCTTTACTTGTGTGACCTATGTCAATATCATTTATAAGGCTGCTCTGACCTTTACCCTTGTGACCTTTGTCAATGTTATTTATCAGATTGCTCTGACCTTTACCTTTGTGAACTTTGTCAATGTTATTTATCAGGATACTGTGGCCTTTACTCTTGTAACCATTTCCAAGGTGATTTATTTAGATACTTTTGTCATAGTTGTAATCTTAGTTGTCTGAACCATGTCATAATGATTTATTTAGGTTTTTCGACCTTTAACCTTGTAAACTTTATCCTTGTAGATACTGGAGACATGCCTACACACTATCCAGTCTAACCCGAGGTATGTAAGTGCTTTGGGGGTTCACAATCCTCGTCAGTACTAAGAGAGTATTACACATGGTCTTGTTCTCTATTATCTATGGCAACCTTCAACACCATACAGGATATATATATCACTACCTCATGACAGGAATAAAAATAATTGAAATCAAATTAGGCAACTCAGACCCCTGCATTCCTGAACTTGATATACCCACATTTTGGCAAGATTTCCCAGACAATGGAAGACGTGGTAAATATTATATAATTCAGGTTACCGAAAAGTTTTAAAAGTTCCAATTAAATTTGTCTATTATGATGTTATTTGTCTATCCTAAAAATGTATGGAATTCCATATCATTTATATTCTACAGTTGATATATCATTTGAATTTTCATTATATAAATTTTAGTTCAAATCTTCAGAGTATTAAACGTACAAGGCAATGATTTTCTCACGAGTGGGCGGAAGAATGGAACTGAAATTGAAACTGACCGCAATATTTAGTTTTTGAGATAAGTTGTTTATACAGGGAAAAGTGATAACATTTTTGATTTCTTGCCTCTCTAGGGATGAGATCAGGGCTGCAGTGATCCAGTTTACTGGCGTCGTGATAAGAGCTGTGATAGAAGAAGCACATGATGTAAGTACAGGCTAGTTTCTAATCACTTTTTATGGTGTTATATGAAACAGGAGAAATAAACGAGGCTATTTTCTTACTGATATGACACAGGGGAAATATATGCTGAGGATTTTTGTCTGGGTTAAAATTGTTACAAGTAAATCAGACTGTTAAGATTAGGTTTAAAATATACAGGTGTTTTTCTCCAGCCAAAACTACATACTACAGAGTTATCCCCCTTAGGCCATGCTCTTTAGGATTTCCAACAAAAGTGTGAGTTCATCCAGCTACAGTCATTATGTATCGGCTTGATATTATTTTCCTGTTTTAGGAAGTGTACCAGGAGGTCTATGATGATACAGATGGCTTGTAAATAAAGAATTACAGATAAATACCAGGGGTTAGACGTCATGGTACCAGTATCATCACATTTTAAAATAAACTTGCGTCTTATCTCTCTAGAACAGGGGACATCTTTATACACGTTCCTACAGTTTATAGATTTCTGACAAAATATTAAGTGCCAAGCTTTATATAGACCCAGATGTGCTGTCTCTGGTTTTATCAACCAACAAAAATCGTGGAATGTAACAGGAATATGATGTCGAGTTTATATGTTCATCCCAACCTTTCTCAGTCTGAAGTCCTAAATTTTAAATATAGGTTTTAAAGCCCAGGTGTTGAAATGGTAGATATTTCAAGGCTACGGACAGCTGGTTCTGTGTCAGATGGTGAGCGATTTCTTGACATTGTGAAAAGGCAATTTGTCATAGTCTTGTCACAAATCAAAACACTGTACTTCTCAGTTGTGAACTGATAAAGAAAAACCCTCTCCCTGATTTACAAATAACCATAACATCCAATTCATCAGTGTTTACAAGAAGATCTACCATGAATATATCTTCCTACATACAAATACTTGTTATCTGGTGTTAACCAAACACCAACAAAAACCCTTTTTTGCTGCATAAAGAAATGAAAAAAATATTGTGAAAAAAACATTGTTTTATTTTTCTTTGGAAAGAGTAGTGTGACTTGTGTGACCTATGAAAAATTTGTTTGAATTTGTGATAGAATTTTTTTGAGTTTGGGGTTGATTACAGACAAGATTGAATGTAGATGTAGAAAGATGAGGTTTTACTGCTTTTTACAGCTTGGTTTTACTGAAAGGTGATATGCACCTGGGGGTGTTGTAGTAGGGAAGGTGTAACAACTTGTGGGTGTGGAGAATAGGAAAGGTAAAATCTGTCCCTGGGATGAGGGTTGGAGTTAAGTTATAATAATAATGAGGGTATCAAGTACTCATCCTTTAACTTTACAGTACGGAGAGAAGCATTGTTCTGGAAAGAGAGTTAAGAATTATTAGGAGGGTTTTTATACACCTTTAGGGTGGGGATTTGTAATTCTGGTATCTTTAGGGTGGGGATTTGTAATTCTGGTACCTTTAGGGTGGGGATTTGTAACACTGGTACCTTTAGGGTGGGGATTTGTAACACTTGTACCTTTAGGGTTGGGATTTGTGATACTGGTACCTTTAGGGTTGGGATTTGTAACACTGGTACCTTTAGGGTGGGGATTTGTAACACTTGTACCTTTAGGGTTGGGATTTGTAATACTGGTACCTTTAGGATGGGGATTTGTAATACTGGTACCTTTAGGGTAGGGGATTTGTAACACTGGTATCTTTAGGGTGGGGATTTGTGATACTGGTACCTTTAGGGTGGGGGATTTGTAATTCTGGTACCTTTAGGGTGGGGATTTGTAACACTGGTACCTTTAGGGTGGGGATTTGTAACACTTGTACCTTTAGGGTTGGGATTTGTGATACTGGTACCTTTAGGGTTGGGATTTGTAACACTTGTACCTTTAGGGTGGGGATTTGTAACACTTGTACCTTTAGGGTTGGGATTTGTAATACTGGTACCTTTAGGATGGGGATTTGTAATACTGGTACCTTTAGGGTAGGGGATTTGTAACACTGGTATCTTTAGGGTGGGGATTTGTGATACTGGTACCTTTAGGGTGGGGGATTTGTAACACTGGTACCTTTAGGGTGGGGATTTGTAACACTAGTACCTTTAGGGTGGGGATTTGTAATACTGGTACCTTTAGGGTTGGGATTTGTAATACTGGTACCTTTAGGGTGGGGATTTGGACCAGATTACCTACAGGTCAGGATAAGGAATTGTACTGTCTTTAGGGTATGGATAAGGTGTGGAGCATCTGTGTGGTGAGGATTTGGAACAGTGGAGTACTTGTGGGATGGGAATAAGGTTAGTAAAAATGGTACCTGTGGGGTGGGGATTCAGGATGGTGGAGTAACTGTGGGATGGTAATTAGGTGAGGAAAAAGGGTACCTGTGGGGTGGGGATTTGGAACAGTGGGGTAGCTGTCGGTGGGAATTAGGTTAGGAAAAATGGTACCAGTGGGACAGGGATTTGGAACAGTGGTAGTACCTGTGGGAACAAAATTAAACTGTGCCTGTCTTATTAGTGGAGTGATTGACAATGGCTCCAGGGGTAAACATGCATCTGCTGGGGGAAAAACACAAATCATAGCGAGAGCTGATCACAAGAAGCATGTCCTAGGGTGGGAGATGTCAGATGGAGATTACAACCCATTTTTTATCATATTTTACGCTCATATTTATATACATCAGCACTCTGTCAGCTATCCAGGCCTGTTTTTGTTAATGTGGATGTAAGATAGGAGCTGTCTGATATCAGAACACAGATACATCCCATCATGTTTTCTTGTATACATACCGATAGACTTACGTCTCCCGAGATTGGCTAATTTAGATGACAATCACTAAGGTTCATGTTGACATTTCATTCTTATGTTAAAAAGTAAAAAGGTTTTACGCAGGAAAAAGGCAGTTCTTTTTACAAAATATGATTTTCACATCAGTAACCAAAAGAAAGAAATCTCTAGTTATTTGTTTTCTGTCTATCATTATTTTGATAAGAGTATGTTCCTTTAATTACCCCACAAGTTCAGTTTTTATTTGCAGTTAAAGAAAACTTTCTCAGCATGTTCTTAAACAAAAACAGGACTAAGGGAAATAAACAAGGAAACTGTATCAAAAGGAAATCTGATAAACAAGTGTGAACTGGGAGAGTTAATGGTATAAGTTATAATTGATTGGTACATGATATTGTGTAAACAAATATACTAGGAGTGGGACAGAGACTAATTCCTTCATTTAGTGTAGATATATTATATTAGTGCCAAGATCTTCTGCATTAATTCGCTTATTAGTACAAAAGGTACTCAGAATTTTGGTCCTCCTCTCAGATTTACACCATTAATTTGGTATGTGTCATCACCTGATACACAAGTGTACAATTGTCTCCCCTGATAAGTGTCGGCCTCTGTACCTACATACCTTAGTGTAAATACCTAAATGATTTGTTTGGGTGGATAAGGTCCCATATATTAGTGGTTATTTGACTTTAATTGTTATAGGACTTGGTAGGAACCACCAGATGTGCTTCTCATTTATAGATTGTTAAATGTTTGATTAGATTTAGGTTCTCCAGTGTGACATTAATTGGTAGTGGGGGGATCTCTTATCACCCCTGTCAGTTATAACCACTTATAACCACTGTGAAGGGGGTGGGGGGAGAGATTTAGAAAAATAACAGGTATCCTCAATTATTGACTATAGTGTCAGTCATGGGCAGATTTAGAAAAAAATGGATATTCTTATTAAGGTGGATAGGAGGGAGACCAGTTGAGGGGGGATAGAGAGCTAGAAAAATGTTAGGTATTTTTTATTATTGATGAAAATATCAGCCTTAACACCTAGTGTACATGAAAGAACAATTCCCCGCAAAAAATGGAGGGAGGTGTTAATCTATTACACAATAATATGAAATACTCACTGCTCAAATATGAATATATAGTGATGTTTTGGTATACACATAGTGTGTGTATGGCTAGTTGTAAGTCTTATGAAGGTTCGTGCAATACCATGAAGAACATGTATATGGTAGCTGTACATTTTGAAGACATGTAAACCATTGTTGATAGTGGCTGTCATTTGAGAAACATGGGTATATATTTTGAGTCATCTGTAGAAATGAGGTTTAAAGTACAAGTAAGGACTGACCTGATGGTATTCCATGTTGTCTGGGGGTCTGATCTCTGGAAACATTGATATTTTTGATTTACTGTCGGTCGGATACATATTTAAAATATCGGAAATACCAAAAACAGTTACAAGTACTTTGCATTATACCTGATACAATTCAAAATGTCGAGATTATTTACAATTGTAAATTTTTCTAATATATGATTTTGGAAACTGGGTTTGTTTACCGTCATAACATTTAAGGAAAGATATGCTTTCTGGGTGTTTAATTGGACACACTTTACAAACATCTCTGTATGCCAACCTTATATACATAGGCATTACAGGAATCTAGACACACACTCAAGTATTTTACTAATTCTGAAACTTTGTGAATTCAGTCCAATGTAACTTGTACATATGTATCACATTCCGTTTTAACGACATTCCTAGATACTCGTGTTTTCTTGTCTAATCTACTTTCATGTTTACTACCTTTGAAACATATTCAAAAGAAAATTAACTAATAAAAATTCATGCCATTTTTTTTTTTTTTTTTTGAAATTATAAGAAAAGTGTTGACTCTGATTTCATCAGAGAAAACTGTTATTGTGGCAATACATGAAAATTTTAGTAATAAAAATATGACAAGAATATGACCTTGAATTTTGCCTCCAAGGTTATTCATGTTCAACTTTTGACCTTTTTCAGTAATTTGGTAGGAGATTACAGTCAGATAAGTATAGATTGAGGGTCCCTGGTTTACCATTATGTAAACCAGAATCTGTGTATCAGGTGTCCAGCATGACTTGGTTTATATCTGTAAAAGACATCAATTTTAATCCTGTCTTTGAAATGGACATAAAATGTGGTTAGATGGTGGGAGGAACTAAAGTGTAATGTGCCTCCCCTAATTGGCGACTAATTAACAGGTTGGGGTATATTA